TGTGTGTGTGTGTGGCCAGCTCAGCCCACCAGGGGGCGGGGCTGGCTGGCATGTGGTGCTGGGGGATTGAACCCGGTCCCTGTGTTTTACCAAGCTTGTTCCAAGTAGGTGCTTTAGACCACTGAGCCATCTCACCAGCCCCTATTTTTCCTCTTTAAAAAACAAAAATAGGGCTGCAGAGATAGCTCAGCAGTCTAAGCACCTGCCTAGACAAGTGCAAGGACCCAGGTTCAATCTCCAGTATCACATGCCACAGAGTGCTAGAATTACTCGCATGCTTCTCCTTGTCTGGCAGAAAGCTGTTTAAAATTTAAAACATAAGACCACAAGATGACTCAAATTTCTCCAAAAATACATTAACTTACCCTTAACTGATCAAGTTTCTCTCGGATCTGAATGAACCCCAAATGTAACTTGCCCCCAAAGTGGTCTGCCAGACGGCGGTCATTGTCATGAAGACCAAGGTAGGCTGAACAGACTTCACAGACACGCAGTTTTTGCTGTTGAAAACTAGATGCAGGCATAGAATTTCTGTATTCTTCCTAGAAAAAGGAAGGGAGAAAGGTGAGGTTTATAAAACTGCTACCATGTAACAACCTTCAAAATAGAAATGCTTGATGCAATAATAAAGGTGAACTTTTTTTTTTTTGGTAGATATGGCACTAGGAATTGAATCTAGGAGTGCTCTAATTATATTCCCAAACTTTTTTTTTTTTTTCCAGAACCGGGATTGAACTCAGGCCCTTGCACTTGCCAGGGAAGCACTTATTCCACTGAGCCATCTCCCCAGCCCCTTATTTTTCATTTTGATACAGGGTCTCACTATGTAGTTCAGGGTGGCCCTGAGCTCACTATGTAACCCAGGCTGGTCTCATACTCATGGTAATCCTCCTAGTCAGTCTCCCAAGTACTGGATACAAGCAAACATCACCACCACCATACCCAGCATACTTCTTTAAACTGAATATGAATCTATCATTATTTTTAAATAGAAAGTATTTAAAGCTGGGCATGGTGGCACATATCTGTAATCCCAGCACTCCAGACCCTGAGGCAGAAGAATCACTGAGAGTTCAAGACCACCTTGGGCTATAAAGTGCTACTCAAGGCCAGTCTGAACTCTATAGTGTAAAACCCTGTTTCAAAAGGACAAACAAGGGGCTGTAGAGATAGCTCAATAGAATACATGCTTGCCTGGCAAGCTGAGTTCAATTTCCGGTTCCACCAAAAAAAAAAAAAAAAAAGTATAATGAAAAAATACAATAAGTCTGGCAACATAGCTCATTGTTAGTGTACTTGCCTACAGGCCCTGGATTCCATCCCTACTACCACATACAAAGTAAAAATAAATTCCTAAAAACCTGATGAGTAACTGAAGGCCATTATCAAGGACTTTTTTTTTTTGCAGAACCAGGGATTGAACTCAGACCCTTGTCCTTGCGCTTGCCAGGGAAGCGCTTATTCCACTGAGCCATCTCCCCAGTCCCAAAGATTATCTTTTTTTCAAATGACAAGGTATCATAAAACTGTGGCTTCTAAATCTCTTCTGCCAAAATGAGAGCAGCCTTAAGACTACTCAACATTTTGTCTTCTACTGAAAGCAGACAGGATTCCAGAATGCTGCACTGCTACAGAAATCAGCACTGCCAGGGCTGGGGAACATAGCTCAGTGGCACAGTGCTGCCTGGTAAGCACAATTCCCAGTACCAAAAAAACCCAAACAAACAAACAAAAAAACTGCACTGCCAGATCCTACCCACACTGCACTCATTTCACACCATCCTGATCTTGCCCCAGTGGTTCCACAGAAGCAGTAATGTACTACCTAGGGGCAACATTCATAGCAAGGAGGAAGAAAAAACAGGAGGCGTAAAGATACCAAGAATTGGCCTGAGTTCAATCCCTGGTTCTGGAAAAAAAAAAAAAAAAGATAACAAGAATCCTAGGCATGGCTAGCCACACATCCCAGCCTGCACTCTCAAGTACAGCTATCCACAAGGGTGACAACACCAAATCTATAGTTATTTTAGCCAATGACAAATTTCTAAGCCTTGGAGGGATTTCTAGTATCTATAGACTTTGAGCAGAAAGGGCAAGGGCTTGGCGTATACCACGGGAATGCAAAGCTTCCCTCTCGACTGTCTGAAGAGGTGTCAGCAGCTCAATGAGCTACAGTGACTCTGCTGTAAATCAAACATGTAACTACCAAGCAGGGTTTACATCTGCACCAAATTTCCCAGAAATGGAACTACCCTCCAAACCAGGGAAAAGCTACTGAGAACTTTATCAAGTACTGGTCATAGTTTGGGAGATCAGGCCACCATACCAATGTCACCCAATGTAACTGAGTCACAATACCATGCTGCTTCTATGCAGAGTCCAATGTGAGCATGACTCCCACTTTTCATTCTTTTTTTTTTTTTTTTTTGCAGAACCGGGGATTGAACTCAGGCCTTTGCACTTGCCAGGGAAGCGCTTATTCCACTGAGCCATCTCCCTGGCCCCCCACTTTTCTTTAGTGTGATCACCTGTAAGCACTTATATAGAAAAGCAATGTATCTGTATTGTAAATCTTCTCTTTAACCTCCAAAGAATAAGATCAGGGAGAATATACTGTCTAACAACATAACTGAAGGTAGATATTGGTCTAACCTCTAACCTGTTCTGTCTGCCTGATGAACACTGCCAACCTCAATCCCAGTCTCAACTTGAAACAATGGTAAGTACAACACTCTCTATACATAGCTTTCTCTCCTTATCTATGCTGTTCTAATACCTCTAAGTCCTTGGTACCACTCAGTCAATTATAACTGAGTACCTACTATGTATCAAGCACCATGTGGAGCCAGAGTCACACTGATAACCAAAACCAGGCCTGCCCCAGGGCACATATATGGTATCTCATCTCTACCCTACCTCATTGCCTTTTATCATTCTAACAGCCAGAATGGTAGTTTGGAGGTCCTTCTCAGTTTACAGGTCTTAGCTACAGGGCTTTCCAGCATCATTCTACCTTACCTAGAAATTAACATCAACCCAAAGTCACTCTCACACTCAGACCCACTTTTGCACACATTATTTTCATCAGAATGAACCAAGGAGTTTTAGGGGACAGTAAAACTACTCTGATGACATTACACTGGGAGACACAAGTCATTACAAATGTTCCCATGCTATAAAGAGTGAAGCCCAATATACTATGAACCTTGGGATGATAACGATGCGTCAATATAACTCCACCAATTATAACAAACTAATTTCTATTTTTTCTCGGCACAGGGAACTGAACTCAGGACATCACGTTTGCAAGGCAGGCATTATGACACTGAGCTAAACTCCTGGCCCACTGTAACAAACTACTGTGGTGGGAGATTTTGACAATGGGAAGACGGTATATATGGAGATCCAGAGGATAGATCTGAAATCAATGTACCTTCTCATATTTTCTGTGAACTCAAAACTGCTCTGAAAAACAAAATTTATTAATTAAAAAAAGTATAGCTATGCCTTCAAATTAGCCCAAATAGTCAACTCTATCAAATATAACATTTCCCTTTTCCTAAAACATTTCATCCACCAACCTCAGCTTCTTTTTTCTTTGCACGAACTTTCTCCACTTCCATGAGAATCTTCTGAGATTCATCCACGTTTCCTTCAGCTCCTAGCTGCTCAGCTTTTGCAAGCAATTTTCCTATTTCTTCATTCAACTCATGCACTTTTTCTGCCTAAAGAGAGAAAAAGGTAAGTAGACACCTAAGAATAGGATTTGAAAAACAAAAACAAAAGAAGTATTTTCCTTGTAGTATTTCTTTAGCACTGAAAAGAAAACTCAAAAAAGAGACATTTCCATAAAGAGGAGGGTCAGACAGTTGAGGTGACTCAGGCCAATCCCTTATAGAACTCCCTTTTTTTTGGTGGAACCAGGGATTGAACTCAGGCCCTTGTGCTTGCCAGGCAAGTGCTTATTCTACTGAGCTATCTCCCTAGCCCCAGAACTCCCTTTTTTAATCTACCAGGTGAAATGTTATCAGTTTAATCATTTCTCTACTAATTTTTATTGTTTCCTGTTTTATGTGGGATATCTAAAAATAGAAAAACATATATGTATTTGAGATTCAGCATAGCTGAATGAGTGAAGGTATGTGTTTAACTACAATCATAACATTTAGGTAGGCTGAAGCAAGGAGTACTGTATGTTTGAGTCCCACATGGGCAACCTAGCAAAACCATGTCTCAAAATAAAAATACAAATGATTAGAATGTAACTCAGTAAGTGTAACACTCTTGGGTGAAATCCCCAATAACGCACTGGGGGGAAGGGCGATTGTTTAGAGGGAAAGGAATTTGAAAAAGAAAGACACAGAGTTCCCCAAGAGGTTGAAATGACACATGAACGTTTGGTCAGTTTTCCACACTTACAGGCAACCACAAACAAGGCAGCATATGTCACCTACACAAGAGCCAACCTATCAGTGCTGATGATGAGTTATGGGCCATCAGTATACCCAACATTTATACAGTTTTATGACAAAGCCACCAGGCATACCTTTGCAGAAACTTCTGCACTGATCTCCTCCTGTGTTTCTGCCAGTCGTTTCTTGGCAAGCTCAGTCCTCCGATCACATTCTGCAATAAAGGACTCCAAGTGATCCATTGCCTAGCTCAAAAAAAAAAAAAAGTTGATAGTTATGATCAGTTATACAGGCCCTTGGATCCCATCTATGTAACAGGGACGTATGCCTGGGTTAGTTTCTTAACACCTGAAGGTTTAATGACAGATAACATATTCAAAATTGTACATTAAGCCATTTTCTAAACCAAATCACTGGGAGAAGCATGGTCTTCTCATTTGATTCATTTATATTTCTCCAAAACTTGTAAAAAACTCCCAATAACACTGCCAAAAGTCTGGGGAACTTAGCCATCAAATTCTCTGAAGCAAAGTGGTTAGGATAGATATATAGTTGTATTCTCTTAATAGAATGATTTGTTCTAATGGTGTTTGTAAATAGGATCTCAAGTCCGCATCTTGTACAGCAATTAACCACTAAGAAGAATATATGTAGTGTATTATTTGTTGAAACTGTACTTCCAATTTGATTTGAAACTGTCTCATTGCTATCTGTTTATCAATAAAATTTTGAAAAAAAAGATTCTCTGAAGACAGAAAAAGCTGAATAAAGATCAGTGTCAGAGGACTTTCTGGAGTTGAGAGAAGCACACACTGCAATCACCACTTTCTGTAACCTTCACAAATATTATTCCCTCATGTATATTCCCTCTTCTATCTAAAAAGGAAAATAAACTGGGTGCAATGGCACATGCCTATAATTCCAGACACTTGGGGAAGTTGAGAAAAAGAGATTCCCAAGTTCAAGAATAGCCTTAGCAACTGAGAAAGACCCTGTCTCAAAAAGGAAAAAAAGAAAACCATTACTGAGAACTACAGGCTTAATTACTGCCTATTATTTAAAACACATACTAAATAAAGGTAATCTGTAATAAGCAGATAAAGGCCAACATAATTTCAGATAAACATACAAACATGACATCGATTTTTTTTTAATATTTATTTATTTTTATTTATTACATTTATTTATTGTGTGTGTGTGTGTGGCCAGCTCAGCCCACCAGGGGGCGGGGCTGGCTGGCATGTGGTGCTGGGGATCAAACCGCGGTCACTGTGCTTTGCCAAGCTTGTTTCAAGTAGGTGCTTTAGACCACTGAGCCATCTCTCCAGCCCCGACATCGATTTTCAACTATCACTTGGTAACTAGTAACAAGCACCTCCTGTAGTACACCATGAGTCAGCTAGCTAATACTGGTATGTGTTAAATACCACAGCCAGACTGTTTGGCAGTGATGACAGTGATCTATTACCAAATAACAAAGGTAAGAAAATTTGGGGTGGAGATGACAAGACAACAGACCAAGGAATAATTTACATTTTCCCTTCTAAAATGGATGAGAGAGAGTAGGCCAGGTGTTAGACAATGCTCCAGATCACAGAAATCCCCTCAGGAATCATTTAAGTATTTTCTGCAAGTAAACACACACTTTTGAGAGTAGCTCCAGATGGGGACAACCCTCCCTCATGGCACCCAATCTCCCAGCCATTAATAAAGGCAAAGCATCCTAACTCCCAAGTCTATTAAATGTTACTCTATAATCACAGAGGTCAAAACTCCTGTCAGTGGTCACCCAAACACTCTAATAAACATTTCAGTATATTCAAGTCAAGCAATGAGAAAAGCAAATGTAACATATTTTGTACACTGCTTCTTCCAAATAGGAAGATGGGTCACCTGTATTCACCTGAGACAGCTCCTAGCACATA